CTCCTACTCCTACTCCTCCTGCTGCTACTCCGACTCTTATTCTTCCTCCTACTCCTTCTGCTGCTGCTGTTGCCGCTGGTGCTCGCACGGGCAGTCACTAGAACACCTGCGTAGAGCGCCTCCGTGTGATACCACTCCTATTTGTGGGGGGTTTAGGGCATCGGCTAAGGAGAGCCTTCCTTGCGAGCTCGTGTCCTGTCAATGCTGTGAAGCGGATTTCAAAGATGAAGCAGGGTATCAGTCCCAGCCGGAAGCCCTCTTTGCAGGAGCCGTGTGAGCACACTTCGGCGGGAATTTCAGCGTGTGGGCGGACAGGCCTTAAGCCAAAATCTGCGCATTTCTGAGCAGACCCCCGTGGAAAATCTCGGAGACAGCGGCGCCGAGTGTGGCACAGGTGACTTTCGTTGATGACCACAACCCGAAGAAAGCATATCGAAAGTGGCAGGAGTTGCACCACGAGGCGTGACGCTGTAGTAGATAGTAAGCATGCAGCATGCCGGCTTGCTATGAAGGCTCGCTTTCGACAGTCATGGAAGCTGGGCACAATCGCAATTGAAATTGCTGCCTTCACTTGAGTTCGCTGCCTTGCACGGTAAGATGAAATATCAATTTTGATTGACAGGTTTGCCACGTCTTGGGCTTTGAGCTGCCAGCGTGGCGCCTACGACGAAAGAGTTTCTGCGGTGCTGGCGGTCGCGGTTCTGACTCTCGGGAAACCCAACATGTCACAAGTATACGAGGACCCCAAACCCTGAAACCGGCGAGCGGTGTCTTGCGTGTGTTCTTCGTATGGAACCAGGTGTGGTTGAGGTGAGAAGTCAGTCCTGGGTTTCTTGGTTCCCAGCTTCCTCCTGCTAGGAATTCCGAAAGCGAATAGCCGGCAAGGCAAGGACAGAAGAGGCTTCAAAACAACACAAAAAGCCCTAAAACACCGTGTGAGTCTGTGAGTCGGAACAAGCTGAGGAGCGCTCATCCAATCGTTTCAGCAGCCTGCCTCAGGAAAGGGAGTGGGATCAAGTTTCGGCTTTTTGAGAAGGGAGACGTAGTTCCCCGTTGCCATGTCGTTTCGAATTCCATAAAGCGAGGTGCAAGATGGTGCAAGTCTCTACAAGTCTCAGGCGCGTGGGAAGAAGCCGCCCTGGATTTGCCACTGTGCCCCGAGCTTTGGGTGGACGAGGCCCGGCAGCCCGACTTCCGTTGCAGTTGAAAGGCCGAAGCTTCGCATCAGGCATGGCCGCCATGCAAGCTTGCACCGAGCTTTCGAGGACCCATCCCAGGAGGGCTCCTGTAAGGGTTTTATCAGGGCTCCTGTAAGGGTTTTTATAAGGCTACTACGCTGATCCGGTCTGCGGCTAGGAAGCACAAGCGCAGTGCTGTCGTGTGTAGAGAGATGGGTTGCAGACTGGGCGCTTGGAGGACGTGTCGTGCCAGTTTGGCGTGAGACTCAAACAAGAGTCACGGCAGTTGCACCTGAACAGCACACGTGCTTTCACTGTAGGTTTCCATAGTCTGCAAACGGCTTGTCAGCTATGCTAGCCATGGCGATCAAGGTCCGCGGCTGGAAATGCCCGCAACGGGGAGAGATCGCTGATGATCCTTCAGGGGAGGCCACCCGTCCTTTGGAAAAGCACTAGCTAGCTTCCTGCCCGAAAGCTCAAGTTGCCATCTGCAGCAAGACAACACTGGCTGTGAGGGCTCTTTGAACTCTTGCTTCGAGCTGCTCCTGCAGGATCGTGCGGAGCTTCCCAACGCGACAGATCAAAGTCCAGTCCTCAGAGAACTTCAGCTCTAGACTTAGACAGCATGGGATCAGCATGGGTGTATAGGTGGATGTGATTGGTGCTTGCTCGGTGTGAAGCACGTCGGAGGCGTTGATCGGCCACGAACTGGGCCGGATGGCATTCGCCCTTCTGACAGGGCCAGGACTCAAGGCACCTGCCGATCAAGAGTCCCAGAAAATTTCATACCGAGAGCCTCACGGCCTCACGGGAAATTCCCCAAACCATGAGATGAATCAGCGACATGGCCGGCTCCCTCATTTCTGTGATGAAGCTGTACTTGTAGTAGGCTCCCTCGGGGTCCTGGAAAAGCGTCGGAGTCTTGGCAAAGCTGCGAGGCGTGGGCTGGACGACTCTCCAAGGCTCTTCGGATCTCTGCTGTTGGCCTCGCATTGCCACAGGTGGTCACTAGTCGCCGGTCATCTCAGCGTCTCGGAGTGGGTTTCACGACGGGGCTAGCGTAGTAGGCCTATCGTAGCACAGCTTGAGAAATTGCAGGTCCCAGGTGCCCTTGCTTAAAACCTCTTCACTCCTGCACTTCGCAGCCAGGTCGTGGTGGGCCAGAAGCTCCTTGAAGGGGTACAATCCATGAGCGCGGACCTGATGTCTCTGCAAGAGTCTGGTGTTGCGGACACTTGAGCAGTTCAGGAGGCAGTCTGCCCAATCTGTGCAATCCCAAGAGGGTACAAAAGTCTGTCGAATCACAAGGTGGGCATCCAGGCCGTGGGCTCTTCGACTTGATAGGACAGCCGCAGAGTACCACAGCAACACGCATGGCTATCAGAAAGCAATGAGAGACAGCGGCCAAGCAGGCCGCCTGGAGATTCCCAAAACATGTCTTCGGGTTGCAGCCTGCGTAGACTTCTCTCCAGGAGGCTCCCGACGCTCGCTCTTTGGCCCTTGGCCCAGATTCCAGGACCCTTCCTGTCAAGGCTGGTGCCTTTGTCCTGTGCAGGCTTCGATCCCTTTGGCCGACAGTCGCGAAGCTATTCGCTTGGCACCATCAATCTGAGCCTCTTTGGCGGCCGAGGCCGCTCAGATGGAGGCCGGCAGCTGCTCAAGGCTGTGATGATGGGGCAACTTTGATGTCTGAAGGCCATGCCCAGGATGGAGCAAGCGTCCTCCAGGCTTGGCGAGTGTAAGCAGTGAATCAGTGGAGTATAGTGAAGGCCACCTGTAGTGGTGCTTCACATGCTTCCGATATGCAACTGGCCTTACGAAGCTTGCGTGATGTGCCAGGGACCACAGCTCTCAAGCGGCATTGTACGTCCCATCATGGAGATGCTGGCCGTGGGCTTTGACCATGAAATTTGTAGCTGGGACCAGTGGTCTGATTTCAAAACGGCTAAGTGGATTTACGGCCTTTTCCTGCCTTTTGGGTCTGAGCCCTTGGGACGCAAGGACTGCGTCAGAAGTCTGTCGCCTTGCATGCTCGAAAGAACAGCGTCTAAGACTACCAACTGGAAGCTCCACGGCAGACACACTGTGACTGGACGTATCTGAAGGCTCTCGGAGAATCTGAGGTAAACTTGACCCACACCCAATGACCGGAAGCATGCTGCGCAATCGGGCTTCGTTTGCTTGTCCCAGGCTGTTGATATGGTCGTGAAGCATGCAGCTCCCCGCGCCGAGGGCTGAGCGTGCAAATGAAGGCTCACTTGGTCACTTGGCCATGGTGAAAGAGATAGCCAAAATGGCTTTGATGGCGGAAATGCACGGGGTCTGTGCAGTCAGGTCCTTCGTCCGATCATTTGGCTTGGGGTGCTGGCCCGTGGAGGGCCGGAGTCAATGTGGACCCGCCATGTTTGATTCCGGCTTCGGATGCGCTTGGGATAGACGAATGATGGCCTTGATGACTTGGGTGGAGTTCTGGCATCTGCTCTCTGCAGGATGGACTCCATTCGGCAAGGCATGAACGGGCTTGCTCTTCCAGGCAGGTCCCTGCTCAAGAGGTCCAAGGAAGGGAGGTGATATGAGGTATCGTCTTTGAAAGGCTTGCAGCTGTCGGGCCATCGCCGACCTGCATTTTGGGCTCCGATGGTCTCCCTGATGGCGTTCCGTGCCTCAGATCCGGCCTGGGATGCCAGTGTTCTGCAGACGACAAGCTTGGGCCCTGCGCGGAGAGGCCTTTCATGCATATCCTGGTGCAACTCGGGGCTCTGCGCAGCGTGGAGATCCGAGACTATCAGAAAGATTCCGACACCACCTGTTTGCAGTTCGTGGATGACGTTGTGTAGAGCTTGTTTATGGCTTAGGGCTTAGGACCTCTGGACAGCCTCCGGTGGCTTTTCTCGTTTCGTGCAACCGGCGATGCATCCGAGGCCAGCGCAGTCATTGCCAGCTGTGGACGTTCTTCTGCCGTTGGCTGAAGGAAGAAGCAGGGGCACATGGGGCAGAGAGCCGCAAGCAGTTGCAGTCATGTTGCTTTTGGATGGTTTTGGTGCAATCGAAAGCCGGCCTTCTTGGCGAAAGAACGTCGCGTTCGCACGCCTTCACGATCTGGCATAAGGAAGCACTGTGGGCATGGGCGCTCGCAAGGTCATCACCGCAGACCGAGCCGCCGCTCTATCAGCTCCAGTCTCAGTTGCTCTCGAGTGCATCTGGGAGAGGGCGGCATGCCTCCCTGTTTGCCATGTTTGGGCATGGACGGGCATTGCTTCTGCAGTCCTGCTCCCATCGCTGATCATGATTAAAGCATGCGCAACATGCAGCTCAAGCAAGTTGCACGCATTGCACGCCAACGCGGAACAACTGCACAATAATTTACAGGAAGTCGCTGGAGGAATGTGTTTCGCGGTGCCCCGCCAGTGAAAAGGGCGGAAACTGGCGTTCGCAAAGATGTGGCTGTTACACTGCTGTGACAATTGCGACACTACAGAAGAGGAGCCAAAGAGGAACTAAAGTGGGCTACAGAAGCAAGATAAAGCGAGAAACCCTCCACTAAGCTAGTCGCAGGCCGGAGATGCAGAGGACGCCGCTGCTGCTATACTGCGGGTATATGGGCAAATGCCGATGGAGCCAGCATCTCAGTTTTCCCGGTCCTATCACAAGGAAGTGACCTCCTGCATTCATCCCTAAGCGGTGGAATGTTAGTGTTGAGTCATGTTGAAAATATCTCGCATTCACGTGCAGTACCATCGGTAAAACGCGTCCAACGTTGATTTGTGTAAACTTGTGCAGGCCTGTGTGAGTTCAGGTTCCAGCATCCCATGTGCTAAAGTCATCTGGCCAAGGTCCGCAAGAGGAGATGAACTGGAGGCAAGTCTTGCTGGAAGGATGGGTGCGCCCAGGCAGAAGGATGTAAAGGGCAGTAAGATACATGTGATCATCGTGACGGATGCATGTTTGCAGAGAGTTGTGGCCGCAGGCTTTGCTGGACGAGGCCGCTGACAGCGCCCGGCGTCAGAAATGGACCTTGCGACGAGAGGCATCCTTCCCGTTTCCTTGGCCTGGCCATCAGGGTTCTTAGCGAGCACAGTCGTTGCCTAAGCAAACCGAACCCGGATCACCTGTAGGCCACCAGGTAAGACGCAGGAGTTGCACCGTTCAGGCACTGCTACAACGCTGGTCCCTGCCGGCCCCAGAGGAGACAGCTACCGAGACTCCGTGTCAAAAAGCTTCGGCGCCCTGTTGAGAGTTGAAGGCAGGCAGGAAGGTTCGAATCCGACTTGCACAGGAGCGGGTGCGGGAGCTGCTGCGATGGAGTGAAAGCAGCATTCCCTTCCTGTTTATGGTGTGAGCATATGGTAAACAGGGTGAGCCACTTGTTAGCACTTCCTCACCGTCGGCTCTCGTCAATCCTGCCCTCAATGTCTTGCCAAGAAGCCATTGTACAACGTCGAGCCTCTTTCACCAGGTACTGGGAAAAGGCTGCTGGCACTCGCCGAACTGCGACGGGCATCGTCTGGTTCCTCAGAGATTTGGGACTCTGAGTGTCTGAGATCCTCATGTGCTTAACGGACTAGAACGCCATCAGCTCTTTCATGGCCCAAGTTGGGCAACATGAAGGCCGGAATCTGGGCCGTCCTTTGATCGCCCTTTCAAAATTTATTTATGTCGGTTCCATCCGACAAGAGGGCTGCGAGTGGTGTGAATTTCTGAGTACAAAGACCTTGTCATGGCCCTTTCGTTCTCAGATACACCTCCTCGCTTGGATGGTGGCACTGGCCGGGGCCTTACAAAACCATGCGATGAAAGCCCCAGAGCCAGTTTCAAACGAGCAGGGAATGAAGAGTCTAAACCCAGCCTAAACCCAGAAACCACCAGGTGTTGGTCGCAGAGCTCTGAGTCCTCCTGGATGTCGGCCTTCGCGTGGTGCCGGGGAGCAGGGGGGGATCGGTTTGTATCAGGGCCCTGGCATGTCAAGGGTTTTTTGGGCTTATGAGGGATGCAAGTGGCGCATCGTGCTACCGGCTTGTGATGAGTTCTGTTCTGCTGCATCATTTGCATCGTACTGGGCGTGCTGACAGGCAGCAGCTAGCAGCTCGAGTGTTGGTGGTTGCCGGAACCTTTGCAGCATGCACATAGCATATGAGATGGTGCCACCAGGATGGCCCGTTCATTGCATGCTCTTCATGTGTGCTTCAAGGTCCTCGTGGCTTTGCCCTTCTTTTCACGGGTGGACTTGGTCCGATGGGCATCGATGTGTACGCTTGGTGCCATGGCCCCGGGTTATGGCAGTTCAGGCGCAGCTCCCTTCTTCCCGGTTCTCTGTTCCTCTCCGTCTCTCGCTGTTCAGGCGCCGTGTGCTGGAGACGGCTGCCACAAACACGTCAGTCCCCTTTTCGACCGTTCTGCCACCTCTGCTCCAGAGAGTTTTCCATGGATTCATGGGCGGCAGCATGCCAAGCAAGGAGTCACAGACTCACATTATCTCACATTTGACGTGAGACTGAGTCGGCAGCGCCAAGCTATTCGGACAAGCACGCTTTCGGTCCTCTGATGGAACTTCAAGAGCACAGGGATCACCCAAGTAGTGTTCGTCTGTAGTGACTGTAGTGGCCACGCGGCCTACTTCAGCATACGCGAGATCCAAGCCGAGAACAGCAAGGAAACTCCACAGTCCGGCAGCAAGTCTCTCCAACATAGCCCGGGCAACCTCGGGTGTGCCCTGCTGGATCGGCATAGCGTGTGGCCATGCGTGTGCAGCTTGCGGAGCTTCAACGGGGCGTGCTGCATGCACAGGCGATCCTGGGGAAGCAGGGTTGGTTGTTGCCCGTGGAAGTGTGTTTTAGCGTGATGGGGCTGCGGGCGCTGAAGGGGTTAGGTTGTAAGGCCCATGGCTATCACTCCAAACCAAGCTAGTCTGCACCAAGGCGGCCCGCTTCATGCCCCAGTTTGCAGATCTGCTTCTTACCAACTAGCGGTAAACATTCGCGCTATCTGCCAGAATTCCGCCATGTAGCACCCACACCGAACCCCCGGCCCCGGGACCGAAGTACGCCCTTCAATGCCGACGCTGTCCTTGCTTGACAGACAGATGTTTTCTCAAGTTCGCCATACTTTATTTTTGCTGCGATCGAATCGACCGAGGCAGCCGGGGGCCAGACCGGGGAGGCGTCCAGAGCTTGGTCCCAAAGATGCTTTTGCTGTGGTCTCTTCCTCGCATCGGAGCTGCCTACACTGCCTACACTTTGCTGAGGCAATTGGTTCAAAGAGTATCGGAACTCTGGCTGCTGGCGAAGTCTGGATGATCTGCAGAGCCTTGCCAGCAGAACTGAGAGTTATGCGGAAGAAACAGGACCACGCTCTGAAGCGTTCGCAGCAAGGTGCCACGGTCCCGGTAAGTGTCCAACTTCCCCAGGAGCAGATCTGAGAGCGAAAGGTGCCACCATTGTCACCTATGACGCCATCCATGGCATCGTCCCTGCAAGGAGCATGACCACAGGTGGGAGGTCCGATTCCTCTCGGGAAAAGGTGGATTCTAGTGATACTGTAGTGGCTTCCTTTTTCGGAACAGGTCCTGACAGACATGGCGTGGTCGTCTGCAAAGTCGCGGATGAGAGAGCAAGCAGCCGCTGCGGTGCCCTGGAAGGTTTTGGTTGAGCGTGCTGCTGATTCCACGCCACAGTAGCCCGCCAATATCTTGCGAGCCCCTGCGACATGTCACGACAGAGACGGGCCATGCGTGACCGCTTCCGCGATTGGCGCTTGCAGCAGGATGTCGGAGATGTCGACGCGAAGCCTGGGGAACACGGCATAGGCTGCAACGAAGTCGCGTCTTCTGGGGAAGGCTATCACCGATACAGCTGCGCTGCATAGCTTGCACAGGAGCGCAGGGTCCAACTCTCAGGGAGCCAGCAACACAGCCCAAGCTTTCAGCAACCTTCAGGCGAGAAGCGTCCCGCTTCTCGAGGCTTCCGCAGCCCAAGGGACGAGCATAAGGAAGTCGCTCTCGTCCCAGGAGTTAACAAACAGGGTCCGGGCATCTGCCAGCCCAGCTCACTTGAGCTTGCCTACCTCAGAGGTGATTGTGGCTGAGGCTCAGCAAAAGCTGCAGCAACTCGTCTCCTAGGACTCTTCCAACTTGGTCCGATCCCATGCCACTCTGCGAGAACGCCACCCTCCCCTGACGTCTGCTGCCGTTGCGGCCGCAGCTCATGGCCTTGAGAGACTTTCCCCACAGCATCTCAGCAACACCGCCTGGAACCTCGGTACGTCGAGGCTCCTTGACACGCCCTTCACAGCAAGGATCTCCGAGCAGGCCATGACGGCCATGCAGGCTTCTGGAAGCTTTCGCCCCGACGGCCTCGCTACCTTGGCTTGGTCTTGTGCCCGAGTCGGTCACCATCGCCCACAGCTGCTCAGGGCAGCCTCTGCAGAGATGGGACAATTGCTACAAGGATCGCAGACGAGCTGGGCCAACGCAGAATCACGGTTGTAATTCAATTCAAGTTGTCTGAGGCACTAGTATTTCCACTCCTCGTCGAACATCTAAGCTTGTGAAAATCAAAGCTTCTTTGCACTGGTGCCATAGCTATTATCAATCTCTCTCTCTCTCTCTCTCTCTCTCTCGATCTCTCTGTACCTCAGCCTCCCTCACACTTTCCCACCTTCCCTCCCTCTCATTCCCTTGTCCTGCTCATGTCGACGCTGGCTATCTCAAGCAGCTAAGGGATGCCTCCGCAACGAAAATGTTGGAAGCTTGACTCAAAAGAGTGCCGTAGAGCCTGCAGACCTGCTGCCTTCTCCACAGATTGCAAGGAATGCTTTTGGAAGCATTAAGCTGCTTCGACTCTTGCGCCGACCTTGCCTGGCAGCTGCTGGAGCGTGCCGAGCCCCTCCACCGCAGTGGACCGCTGGGGGGCGCCAGAACAATACAGTGAGCAATACTGCATGGGTGTGCAAGTCAGGACTGAGCCTAAGTGTTGCACGGTGTCTCTTGTTGTCGGATCTGCATCTCAAGGGCGCAGGGCCAATTCCCAGACGGGCCAAGCCTGGGCTGCTTTGCCGCCAGTTGCCGACGTCGAGGGAAGGGTGAGAGGACAGCATGGGGTCCATGGTTTTGTCACGTTCTGTGTCTGAGCTGCTCAACAGAGGAGCTTGCTGAAGATCTACGCAAGATGGCAGAGGAGACAGGGCAACGGTGCCCTCGAGTCCCTCTGCCTCATCGCGGTGGCACGCCGGCTCGCCATCGAAGGCCAGGCGGAAGAAGCCTTGCAGCTGCTGCCTCTTGGAAGCATTTGCCCCTCTTTTTGCATGATTGCAATTTGCTTGCGGTATACTTCGTCCAAAGATTCTCGAGTGGCCTATGGCCTCCCCTCCCAAGGCAACGTGCAGCTCAGCGGCTGCCTCTGGACGCTGCAGGTGATGGTGTTTGGTTGGCCTGTGGTGGACTTTCGGAGGAGAGGGCATGAGAGGCACAAGAATGATTATAGCATAGTGGTTATTATGGGATTATCATAGTATTATTCTAGGGGTTGCACCCACAATCGGGCAGCGCAGGTCGAAGCCTGGAGCAAGGCCACGCACCCCCCCTCCGCTGAACCCCGCTGATGCTGATGATGCGCGCCCTGCCGGCTTCCGCAACCCGCTCAAAAATTGGCAAAACATCGCCTCGCGCCGCAGGGCCGATTGCGGGCGCCCCGAGTGCTCATGATGCTCGCCGGCTGGCCTCCTGGGGTCGTCCACGGGGGTTGGGGGGAAAAACGAGGGTCCGATAAAGCAGGGTCGGCGGCAATCCCGGTCGCCCTTTTTGCGCCAAGCCTCGGGCTCACAGGGCGCATGCGCTCGGGGACCGAGTGCTGCCCGATTAAGGGCTGACGCCGCTGCCGCCGACCCCGGCAAGCGGCATCTGGCATATAAACCCCATGTAGCTCGAGAATCACACATAGTAGAATTGAGACTGCAAGTGCGCAGGAGCCTCCAAGTTTTCGTTTTCGGCTCTCCAGCCAACTAATCCAAATCTCTCATTCATCGTCCATTCCCCTTAAACCCTAAATCCTAAACCCAGCGAGTGGCACTCCGCAGGGACTTGGCGTGGCCAGTGTTGTTTGAGCTCAGCGCATGTGAGGTGCTTGTAGGTGTGAGGCATGTCGGGTAACGCTGCAAGGACAGCGCGGAGGGTGGGTGGTGCAGGGGAGTGAGGGGCAAAGGCGCGGGCCTTTTTGGCGAACCAGACGCGATTTCTAAACAACTACACAAATAAACGGGAGGTACCGGAAAGCTAGAGTCTAGAGGGGAGTGGAGTGCAGGCGCGGACCTTTTTTCAACGGGTAGGGGAGGAAGGCCAGGGGTAGGGCATGCGTTGGAGTGGAACTAAGTTATAAGATTCAACTACCACCAGAATACCATGAAAACAAGCCAAGGAGGGCTGGGGAGGAGGGCAGGCTGCCGGGCGGTGTGTCTACTAGTCTACTGTGTGGCTTTTGGTTGGGTAGGGCACGCGTTGGAGTGGAATTAAATTAAAGGACTCAACTACCACTAAAATATCGAGACTTGAGCATTGGATGTTTTCCGTGCCTACTTTCGGAACATCTGCACCCAAACACCCACTGCAAGGTTGGCGGGGTTAAGGCACCGCGTGAGCATGCATTGGAATGCGCGGAAATCCCGCATAAAGAGAGCGAATCCGAGAAACAAGCCGGTACATGCACCACGACAATACTGGCTGCAGCAAACCCCGCGTAAAGTGAGCAATGCTGAAAACCGCGCAGGTAACACAACTTCTGAGCGCCGGCCCGCAGTGGTCGGCGGATCTTATGTTAAAGTTTAATGGTTGCAGGAGCTTCCGCGAACGGCTTGGACAATTCGGTCCGGGCACGACTATGCCAAGGCACGCTTGGCGTCTTGCCATTGCATCGGAAATGGCGTGCCGAGTCTCCAGGAGCTTCGGCTTCTGCAGAACCTTTTCTCGGTGGCTTCAAGGGACTCCAGCAGCGTCGCTGATTTCATGGAATCCTATGGAAAGGAGGAGCTCCCAAGATGCAGTGAGAGCTCCTCGAGACCTCGGTACTGTAGGGTGCATCCAAAGCCCAGGCTCCCGCGCTCCAGCAAGTGGCTGAAGATCGCCGGAGGTCAGAAGGCCCAAGTCCTGAAGGTGGCGGCAGATGCCAGCCCTGGAGGACGGGAAGGGGCACAGTGCAGAAAACCACAGCGCTGTCGAGTTTTCACAAGGCTTAGAAGGCTGCACCCTGAAGGACTGGCACTGGAGCTGGGCCTCTACTGCGGCTTCTCTGCTCTCCACCTGAGCTCTTCGAAAAGGGTCGTGTCTCGGATGCGGTTTCCTTGCTCCCACAGCATCTGATTAGACGGTTCGTGGCCAAGGTTTCCGTAGAGGCCGACCTCGCTCATGCCCTCATCGCAGTTCCCTGGCTCAAGGGTTGCGAAAGAAGGATACTGCCCTTCGCTGAGAGAAAATGATCCGCATGGATCAGGTCTCTTCCAGGAATATCTTCAGACAGTGTTGGCACGAAGGTTGAATCATGAAGATCATTTTCGTTGGGATTCCCACGATTGTATTTACAGTTGCACATCTTGGCTGTGCACTTCCACGTTTGCATGCAGCCGACAGCGGGGTACAACAAAAAATCAGCCTTGGCAAGATCCTAGGAGACCCTTCTGAACTTTGCGGGCATTGCACATCAGGCCAGCGTATCAGCGGCGTTGCTTGTGGCTGTGCATAGTGGAAAACATTCGAGGCCACATGCACCATGTGCTCTTTGGTTCTTGTCGACGTCCTAGCTGCAGGTCGAGATTGTGGTTGGACATACCGAGGAGCTTTCGCCCTTTTCTGCTGTTAGCCTCGCCTCGTTGCGACAGTGAGCCGATGAAGGACGTGCTTCCATGGCTGCTGGGTGAAATGCAGCGACGCAGCCGGGCTCAAGGTAAGCAGTATTGCGCAGTAATGTTCATTTCGCCGTTGCGCATCTTACATGGTGCTCAACTATCAGGCCAGCTGAACATCGGCTTTGTGTTCATGGACCAGCGCGGGTCCAGGTATCACACAGATTCTGGGCATGCAGAAGACTCCATGATTCCCAAAGTCGCAAATAAGTCGGAAAAAGCTAGGCACTCTTTTTTTCCACTGACAAACGTGAACTTGGATCTCAGGATCTTGATGTGCTGCTGCAGTCGGAAGTTCTGCAGGATGGAGCCGTTGTTGTGGCAGACAATGCCTCTCTGCAAGATCTGGACAGGCACTAGCAAGACAGTGAGCCAGACACAAAATCCCTTGCACCAACATGCACCAACTGCCAGTTGTGAATGTATGCCCAGGTGTTGAAGCCGGGTGCACCCTGCTTCCTGTGGGCTCTTGCCGTCCACCCTGCGTTCACCACAGACGTTCTTGAAGTGGCGGAGCCCGTTGTCTACAACAGTCTGCAATATGCATCATCACACCAGAACATAGGCTGCAGAGCTAATTGTTTCATATACTCAGAGAATCTGATGGAGCAGTGTAGTCGTATGCTATGAGCCCTTTGCAAGTTTGTGGTGCATGCGCACATGTGTGTAATTCTCTGGCTCTCTCTCTTTCTCTATCTTTGTGTATACACACATGTACATACGGAGGTTGTGTGTGTATATATACATATATTGTACATGTAACTATGCATGTATGTATGTATGCTTGTATGAGTGTGTATATAGAAATATGTACACAATTTACTGAACTGTTTATATTTTCTTTGCTTGTTTTTGTATATCTTTCTCGTACATATATGCATACTACATACATATATATATACCTCTCTCTCTCTGATTGTATAACTCTAGGTCCCGAGGTTTTTACATTAGGAGCTAGGCGGGTTGCCATGGAGGGACCCATCTTGAGTTTGGCAGTGCATGCTTGTGTTGATCTCGGAATGCTTTTTCTTACTGGGCCATGGACCCTGCAAACAAGGCTGTGCCTTTGTTTGGTGAATTTTCTTCTCTGAAGCATGGTTGTGCAGTCACATTGGAGGAATGCTTTGGGCACACTGACGGCAAGAAGTTGCTCAACTTGAGAAGCCAGCTCTGCATCTTGTTTAGTCGGGGGGCGGCACTCGGATGCCGAAATTGAGAAACTGCGCCACAAAACAGCCGCTGAAGGGAATTTCTCAAGACAGGTGCGGACGAGGATGCGGAATCGAGGGAAGCTAGCTGTGCTGAAACATGAGCTTTTGCGTCTGCAACCTGTGGCGAACTAAGCTTTGGGGGCGTGAGAGCAACAACCGTACACCTCTGGGGAGTTGACAGTGTTTGAAATGAAAGTGTTGGAAACCGCACTTGCCAGGCTGGGACAGTGCGGAGTGAAAATGCAAGTTCTTTACGCGGGGCTGACAATGTCTCAGGCCAGATTCGTGCAGTTTGGACTTTGGACTCTGCGGAGTCAGTGTTGCAAGCTTAACCCAGTCGGGTTGTTGGCATACATGTGGCTTTTTCGGTATTGCAAATACATACAGCATGTGGGGTAGTGGGCCTTGGCCGTCTGACACTGGCTGGGGCCAGACGCTGCCAGACGTGTTCAGTTTGTTTCCATGTCAGCCATGCTTGGAAATGGAGGCTTGTTTCGTCACAAATTGACAAATGTAATATAGTACAATATAACATATAATTACATTATATGATATACAAAAATATTATATAGTGTAATATAATATAATATTACATATTAGAATATATTAGAATATATATATATTATTATTATTATTACATGATAATTTATGATATTATACTGATACTGTACGATATTATATGATATTATATGATACTATATGATACTATATGATATTATATGATACTATATGATACTATATGATATTATATGATATTATATGATATTATATGATATTATATGATATTATATGATATTATTTGATAATATATGATTTTATGTGATATTATATTATATTATATTATA